ACACATGTATGTGTGTGCTTCCCCTTTCCCTGCTGGGCTTTTAAAGCTCCTTGTGGTGTTGTTTATCTTACCCTAGCCCTGTCCCTCCCAGCTCCCTGTACAGTTTGGTTACTAACCACAAGTTGCTTGCAATCATCCACAGTTGAGAAATCTCATCTCCAGCTGACACCTGGGATGTGTGTGTGTCAGTGTTCGACAAGTTTATCAAAACAATGCTTTCCTGTGGGAGACCAGTAGCTCATGGACATATTCAAATTCTGCTTTGTGTTTGTCAGTGTTTTTCTATCCACATGTTTTGGAACTTTTGTATGACATACAAAATTGACCTCTCAAATTTAGGGTTAAAGCAACCAGGTAAGCTCCAAATGTTTTGCCCTACAACAGCCAGTATTCCTGGCCACTGCCTCCACTGATCAGGGCTGATGGGAACCAAGGACCAGGGCCTTTTTGTCGCAGAACGCACCAGAATGGCGTTCCAGCACCTTTTTTCAATGGATTTTATGAAGTGATTTTGGTGTGTGTGCTTGCTTCCGGCGGCGACGTGAGTTCTGGCACCTTTTTTATTTTACAAAAAAAGCACTGCCAAGGACCAAAATAACTGGGGAGTGCCAGGCTGGAGAAGCCTGGTCTAGACATGAGCTGGGTGTTCTTGCCTCAAAATCCACTCAGATATAAACTCAGTGACCTTAGAAAATGGAGCATTTTTCAGACTGAATCCCCTCCTATTTTGTGAATAACAGTGAAGCTTTTCTCAAAGTATCTGTCTACAGATTTTTAAGTAATGTTGGATGAAGAACTTTGAAAAAGCATTTTATCAATCCCCTCCCTTACTATATTATTAAAGGCAGCACTTCAATACAGGTTTATTTTTCACAATACATTTCAATAACATGTCGGAATGCCTGAACTGATGCCATTCCGCTATAATAAAACAGATGGGGATCAATTCAGGATTGAGGGAAATCAGAACATACACCACTGATTTGAAATGCTGCATTCTATTCTCAGTCAGGTCTAGATGCCTCCAAAATCATGTCTAGCTGGAAATGGGATTCATTCCTGCACATCACAATCAACCTTCACTGCCTTCCTATTTGAAACCAAACATAGAAGCTATTGCAAAGAAAAGAGTGGTGGGACTCACACTCCAAACTGATCTCCTCACATTATTTCTACCATTAGGGCCTGGCATTCTTCAAACCATTTATATCACAGCTTTTATATAAATTGCATTTTCTTCCACAGCATGTATTTCAGCATGTTCTCAACCTGCTATTATGGCCGTACTTCACGTCCTTCTTCCTAACAGACCAGAACAAAGCTTTCTAACTAAAAGGATTTTTATATGTTAAAGCTGACCAGCTAGGCCGGCTTTGGACTACAAATGAAGAGCATTACAGAAGGCAATAACGAAAGAAACAAGGAGAGTTAGAATACTAGGCATTAGGGAAATGTAGCTTAATGATAAGATGTTGATTCCAAGCTGCTCCCTTCAAAACTGAAAAGAGCAAACGGCACACTCAGGGTGGGTCCTTCTGTTTCAGGACCAGCTGTTCAGAGTGTCTGACACCCTATTAAACTGACACCATGTCAGTGGATTAATGCAATTAAATCCACCCCTCCCCACATCAGTTTGCTCACTAAACTTTCTTACAGAATTTGAAACTGATTCTCAGTGACTACCTGGCTTATCTCTGCGACACTTGATCTTGGCATTTCAGCTGCAGATCCTCCTCTTTGGCTCCTCTTTGTCTGAATCAGAATCTGAGTTTATATCCACAACCCTGGAAGGCTCTTCTATAGGAGGAATGGGCCCAAACCCTACACCTGCAGCACTGTTTGGAAGTGGTTTCAGCAGCAAGTGGCTGGGTGGAGCAGAGCTGCAATGTGGAAATGTCTTACTGAGCTTTTCCTTTAAGCATATTTGCTAATGTGCATGAGTGCAGGGGTGAATGTGTGATTAACTTTTTTAAATGCTCTGGGCCAGGAACAACTAGCTGAACATGCATCATAGGCCTGTCTACTCAGAAGAAAATCACATGGTCTTCAATAGCACTTTCTCCTGCCAAAATTGGCACGGGGAAAAGGACTTGTTTTGGCTTTTGGGAAGAAGCAGCTGTGAAGTGATTTTGAGTCTCCACTCCTTTGCCCCAGTGAGCGTGCACATAAGCTTAATGGATCTAGAAGACACACACACACACACACACACACACACACACACGAAACTTATAGGGACATGTCCCTGTGCATATGACTTTTCCAGCTCCTTCTATTTCTCCCATAGTTGCATTTACATGTGACACTCAACCATGTTTTTAACACAGTGGAAACTGTGCTTTGCATAAAAATAGTAGCAGTACTTCCTCGTACATGGAGTGTAACTAGTGTGAGCGAACTTCACACAACCCTTGATTTTACACTGTATCACAAATACAAATACAAAGCCAAAACCAAATAAGCAGTGTGTCTAATTGCAAACTGTGAGTGGGCTCAAAAATCACAATAAATTACCCTGAAAAGAAGTCATGGTGGATGGCAGTAAAGAAACATATATTCGCCCCGTAATTACAGCCACACTCCAGCAGTATTTATTTTCACAGTGGCTTATCATGATGTGCAGAACTGCTCTTTATGTTACACATGCTTGTGAGGTATGCTGAGTACTACAAAGTAATTAAAGATTTAGATGATTTTCTGGAAAGTATTTGCCTTTTTTACATAAGAAAAACACTAAGGCTGAAAAGTCAAGTTTGCATAATGTTGGCAAATCCATAGCAGGGAATTCAAAAGCCATGAAAAGCAGATAGCTCCAGGAAGCGAGCCAAACCATAAGTTTCAGATCAAGTGAATCCATCAAGAAAATGCAAACAAAACTCACTAAGCTTGAAGCAGATGGGCTGAGAGACGGGTGGCCATACAAGTGCAATGGACACATTTGTGCATGCATATATGTGCATGCACCAAAGCATGCATCACACACACAGGCATGAAATAAATTCCAGGTTTGATGTACAAATATCAACAGGACAAACCTGATTTTATTTATTTATTTTTTACATTTCTATACTACCCAATTGCTGAAGCTCTCTGACTGGTTCACAACAAGCATTTAAAATAAGATAAGTTTAAAACTACAGTATTCAATAGAAGGAAAAAAACAAAGTAAAAAACTAGCAGCAATGTAACCATTAAAATACAACAACATATTTCGAACAGAAATTGAAAGACAACAATTCCTAAGAAGGTCTTCGCCAAGATGCCACAACAGAAAAGGCCCTGGGGATGATCTTAGGGTCTCAGCAGGTATGTATAGGAGGAAGCTATCTTTCAGTGAACCTGGCCCCAAGTCATTTAGGGTTTTGAATGTTAATACCAACACTTAAATCATGTCTGGACATAGACTGGCAATAACTGGAGACTGAAAAGTACCTGCTTAGAATGAACATATTGGCCCGTTCCCATTAACAGTGCCACTGCCCTGATTTGAATGACCTGACCTTTACTGGCCATTTCCAAAGGCACTCCTCATAAAACACACTAACTGCAGTAATCCAGAGCAGACTATAAGGATCTCGGTTCCCCCTTCATATTTTCAAAGCAACAGACCATTCTTTGGCAAAAGATCTTTATTCTCCAAAGTGCATCCAATCCAATAAGCACAATAATCACAAAATGACTCTCTGAGCATACACAAAGAAGGTTATTGAACCCAATCTAGTAACTACTTCCGAGAAATCTCCTTTTGAGTAACCCTGGGGCCCCTCCCTCTGGAGAGGGGCAGGCCTCTTCTCTGTATGCTGCCCATCTAGTTGGCTAGCCCTTCTCTCCCAACATCACATATTGGGGCCAAGAGTGGTACCAGGCTCAGCTGGCTCCTGGGGCGCCTGTCCCCTGCCCCCTCACAGCAGTTGAGATCCTGGCTATTCACTCCACCCACCTGGCAAGGGTGGCCTTGAGATAAGCTCCTCCCCTTTTCCCATCTTGACGTGGCAGAACTGAGCAACTTTATCTTCAAGATGTCATGCAAATTTGTCACAGTGTTTCACAGGAATCCACCATTTCTCCCCGTGGCCCAGATTCTGGCAGGCCATGAACCACTCAGAAAATTTCCACTGGATGACGACAAGAAGATACAATCTATTTTCACTATCATAGAGTAGGCTCAATAATAAGCTCTAGCCTATGTTTGACAAGACACAGTACAGATTTTACACCACCTGCATTCTAGCCATCTTCCCTCTTACTTCACTGCCTTCAGCTCAGATGTATCCCAAGAAGCTGGCTGGGCTCTGCTCAGAGGGAGAGGGTACTTTGGTGCTATCCAGTCTAGCACCTGAATCATCTCTGTATTCCACAGAGTGACCTGAGCTTTGAAAGGAGCACCAGTCATGCCCACAGAAAAATCCCCCAGGACCTTCTGGAATCTGTTAGACTCTATTAGCCTCCATGGGTTGGCCATTTGAATATGCCTCTTGTGCTGGTAGATAGGAAAGGCTGCTGAGAGTCTAAACCTCAAAAAGAAATGATCCAAGTGAGATAGAGGTTAAATCCCCCTCTTTCAGATCACCCAGTCCAAACAAACAAACCCTGACTTAGGAAAGTGCTGGGATGTTGGCATGTTGAGACAACCCCATGATTGCCATGGTTGCCACAGAGTCCTAATCCACCCCAGAGCCAGCAACCTTGGCGAGAAAATTGAGACTTCTTCAGAAACATAGTTCTACACATCTCCAAACTGAAAGATGAGGCTACCTCCACTGAATACACCAGCAGAATGCCTAATCTGTCCCAGCAACCCAACACAAGGTACAGTCACTCAGCACTTGAATGGAAAGGAAAGCTATAGAGAGGAAGACTTTCCTCCTCAACCCACAAGTCAGAAAGAGACAGTTCGGAGAGACTAGCTCAGTTCCCCCACCCAGGTCTCAGTAATGCACATCAGATCAACTGCCTGATCCACAATTCAATTGTAGATAAGGGCGATTTCATTTTGGACTGACCTGGCATTCAGCAGCAGCAGCAGCTTTATTGTGTCAGCCCTTCCAGGACTTCTCAGCACTGACAGTGAAAAGGATTGAGTGCTGCCTTCAATTTATCCTTAGCTATGGTCCAGAATTTTGACCACATTTGGTGGAAGCAAAATCTCTACAATGAGGCTTCAGATACAGTGAAGGGCAGGGTCTCCTGCTCCTTTAAAAGAATGTGGGGAGGGACTTGCCATGTGTGCCTGTTGCTGTAATGCAGAAGTGTTTTCTGCAGAGACCAGAGTTCTGTCCTTATTGCTCATGTGGTCACCCTGCACAGAAAGGATTGTTTTGTAATCAATGCCGGTTCATGCATTCATTGCCCATGATTCAGTATGTTAGGACTTCAATAACAATTGGGTTAAACCACAAAAACCATGAATGCTGCAAGGGTTACCACAGGGTTGCTGCAAGTGTTTGTTTGCTTTCCCTATTCAATTAGCACCATCATGTGGCAGAGAGCAACTCTGCATTGTGAAGATGTAGTTGGAGGCTTAGCAGGGGAAATTAAAGAGTTCAGTTCCTGTTTTCAGGTTACACTGCAATTACATGGATATGGTAATTCCACTTAGGTTTTCTTTTCATTTTTAGGGATTTGCTAGTGATGCTCATTCAACAAACAGATATTCTTATCACATAAAGAATGTGACATTCCACTAGTATGCATAATCCTAGTATAAGACATATAGGATTTTTATTGTTCTCTCATTCAGTCTTATAAATGTAACTGTATTCATCACCATTTCACCATGGTTTTTGTTTTGTTCTTATTTAGATTTAAACTTTTAAAGCTCTCAGGCAACATGCAAAGCAACCCATGACTTTGGAGAAATGAACATGAACACCAGGTTGGTGAGGCTAAACGTGTGGGCCAAGGTTCCTCCCTCCCAGACCCCACGCCATCTCTGCCACTGCCCATTCAGTCTCTTGAAGAAAAGTAAATACACCAACAAAAGAAATACACATCTGTTTGTGTAACTTGGCTCACAAGGGGAAATGGCTTGGATATAGTGGGTGATGATTGAGAAAAACAATGCCTTATCGACCTTTTACACCTAATACCTTGCTAAGTAGAGAAGCAGCATGGAGGGAACCATGCAGTGTGGCTGCCTGTATCACTCTGAAGTTGGAAAATTACAGTGTCCAATCCAGGGTGGGAAGACCATGGAGAAAATCCTTGCCTCTGTGCTTCTCCTGCCCTGCAAAAGAGACAGATGGCCAGTTTCAGACATGTATGCTTTTTGCCCCTGAATGCAAGGAGAAGCATTGCAGATAGAACACTCCCTTCCTGCATCAGCTGTGGGGCAGAGCGAGTGCACTTCATGGTTGAGTCCCAGCTCTGACCTCAGAATGCATTTCTAAGGTTGGAACTGGGATCCCAACCTATTCTATGACCATCTAGAGCGCATCAAGCAGCCACAAGATTGAACTCTGTGTTTTCTAGCAGCGACATACCTACATGCTTGTTTATTCTCCTGAACAACTTGAGTTTGCTTTTATTTTGCTTAGTTAGTCTATTGTCTCTTCCTTGTTGAATGTTATTTCTTGGGATGTGTCATTAATGAAACTTAGTAAAGGACGTGTGTGTGCTTTTAGATACCAGCCTTATATGGGTTTGGCTCTTCAGAATGAAGGCCGCAGTAACCCCTCTTCAGCATTCATGTCATGGTCTTTGTAAGTCCCAATGAACAATTTTTCTTCCTCAACTGTACCAAAACCCCACCCCACCTCACTCACCATCCTCTCCACATATCTCAGCCAGCTCGGTCCACCATATCTTGAACAGGATTTCTGCTGATCACTTACCAAGCTCACTCATCCATTCCTAGCTTAATGGAATTTGCATCTTGTTCCACGTCCTTTTCTGCAGTGCATCAATCCCTCTGTCCTTCCTTGCTGTTAATGAGCAGAGGAAATACATGAACAGCATCAGTGCTGGAAAGGAACCGCTTAATCAAGCTGCAGCAGATGTTCTGCCTTGGAATCCACCTCTCATGGTAGACCTGTTCAGGCATTCTTCTCTCCACACGATCAGCCTCACGTGGCAAGACAGCAGGGCTACACACTGGCCCCACCCCAGCTATCTCACCCCATCACTTCCACCTTTGTTGCGCCATGCCTGTAGAGGGAAGATGCCAAATTGATTCAGGCTATGCTTATGAACTGGAACTATGCCTTGGGACCTCTGTGGACGTTTTCCCAACACATGGACTGGGTGGGGGTGGCAGAGGACACAGTAGCGGAGGAAGTGCCTGCTTGAACAGCCCTTTTCTCCCTCCCCATCACATTAATTCAAAGGAAAGAACAACTAAGCTGGGCTAATAAGTTGATTCTGAAAAGAGATTAATCTGCATTGTATCCAATGGCATTGATCCACTGATGGGAGCAATTCCATCCATAGAACTGGGAGGGGATGATCTTCAAAATCTGCTCCAGGGGGTTGCAAAATGTTCCAGAGCAGAAGCCTGGACAGCATGGAAGGCTGCAAGTGAAGGAAAAAGGGAGGAAGCCCCACCATACTATACTGCTGGACCTCTGCTAGTGCATAGGAATTAACCCTCTACTTTCATGCCCTTATGTCATATCTGTGGAATGCATGGGATAAAATGTGGAATAAATCTCTCCAGCCAGAAGTAAAATGCTATTAATTGCATTTGCAAATGACGTATAATAGAACAGTTTGTCGTGGAGGCTAACTGCAAAACAAGCTGAAAGAAACAAAGCATATGCAGATATGAACAAACAAGATGCTGGATTTAGGAGGGCAACACATAGAAGCAACCAGAGAGTTGTCTATCAGCAGTGCTCATTCGTTTTCCTGTTCATAACATTGGTTACATTGTCTTTCCAGAATGGCATTTATCTTTGAAACCAGAAGAAGTGACGCATGTTTTCCAAAAAGCTGCTCTCATCAACATACTTTCCATCTGCTCTCAGAGGATTGTCTCCTTGGAACATTTAAGTAAAAGACCACAAGATTCAGAATATGCCTCTAATTTTACTGTAAAGAAAGGGCCATTTGCAGTTGTGTGATATAAAGCCACTGAATAAAACTGCCAATACCATTCATCAAATACCCTTGATGAGCTAGAAAATGGTAACAAAGCTACTGCCAAACTTGACTGACTTAAAACCAACAAGCCTCTAGGTGCTTAGGAAGGTGTAAAGGTGCAATCTCCCTCCCCCCACCTTGTTTTTTTTTTTCATTGAAAACAGAGCATTCACAGAGCTCCTGGGCTTTTAAGTGGGAATCAGGTGCTTTTGGACAGAAATTCCTGCCTGTGTATTTTGCTGCTCTTATCATGGAGCTTGCAAGCTTATTACCCCCTACCCTTGATTGGGTTGATCTTTGGGTTTGGATGGCCCAACAATTCATAATAGGTAGAATAACCCCTAGAACAAGAAATAGGTTGCAAGGATAGCTTATTGCTCATGCACAAGTCAATCTGGGGAAATCAGTCAAGCTTCACATAACATGACAACCCATCATGGATAGCAACCCACCTTGGGCTGTTGGTTCACATCAATTCCGTCATTAGAGTGTTTCCAGCACTTCCTGAAAAAAATCTTTATTTTAGACTTTGCTTAACCAGCCACCATTTTTATGAATATTCTACTTCCACTGATATTATATTTTTGAAATTGTGCTTTTTATGTTTTTGTCTTTTTACCGTTTCATAGTTAACCACTCTGATTGTTTAACATCATTGTAAATAAATAAATAAAAATAAGATGGACCTGACATCAGCCATTCAGTCATATATTCAATAACACCCTTCCAGGGTAACAGCATTTAAAAGCAGTCCCACACACTGCTCTGTGAGATGGCCTTTTAAAATAGTTCATAAACTATTTGGCCCAAATGCAGCTGCTAGGATAATAGATGGCACATATTACAATGCTCTTATATTGGACATGGAAAACTTGTGACCTTCAAGATGTTCTAGCTTACAGCTTCTATCATCCCTCATTCTTGGCTATGCTGGCTAGGACATATGGGAGTTGTAGGCCTAAACATCTGGAGGGCTTCAGGTTGCCCATCACTGTCTTACATCTTCTAGGCTATTGTTTCCCGGCTGTATTGAAAGTGTTAGTGTTATGGCCATAAACTGCCTATAAACATGTTATCTTCTCTTATTTGAACTTAACTAACCTTTAAGAGTAAAGTCAGTCAGCCAGCTTATCCTCTGTCCCTTACGAGAGCCGGCAGATAGTTACAAGAGGCAGGGTCTTAGTGGTGGTGCCAAATCAGATGAATGCCTTCCCAAAGGTGATTATCAGTTTATATAGATTTTCTATTGCAGAAGCATCTGCTTCAGCTTGTTCTTTCTGTCTAAATGATCCTACTTTAAGCATGCACAAGACTGCAACTTTAATAGTTAATCATTTTGCTCTTTTTAAGGAATACCTCTGACCACTATAGTTGTGGGGAGGGGGTTGCTCCTTTACAAGTTTATTGCTAAATATTTTTTATTATTTTCTGCTTTTGATTTTAATTATATCTTCATGACTTTTACTACTTCCATTGTCTTGTTATTAAAAGGGCTTGAACAAGAATGGACACCAAGAAAAGAAGATTTTGCAGTGCAAGTCTTTAAAAATTGGAAAGGTATGCTTTGTATCATTTACCTTGCTGTTGTAGCTTTTGTAGCTTGTGTAAAGCTCTTCAGACATGCAAAAATATGATAATAATGTATCTTCTCTATCATCTCCAAATTCCATCAGAAAGGCCTTTTCAATTTGTTTTTTGTTTGTTTGTTTGTTTGTTTTGTTTTGTTTTTTTTGTTTTGTTCCCAGCATGTTACAGTTACGCATTCTCATGTCAGGCTCAGAAAATCTAGAAGGCTGTTTTCATAAGAAGTGCCACAAGATGGCATGACCAACATATGGAATGTCTATCTGTCTACTGTATAACATGTTCAGATATAACAGTCTCTTCATTAAGACTTTCCACATCATATACCACATTTTCTTCCTATAACAGTATGTACATATATTTTCTAACCATACTAAATTGAAACAGCCCTTCCATTTGGGTGCTGTTTGTTTGATATGGAAACCAATACTCATGCCCAACATTTACTTATAGCATTGTCAAGTGGTACTTGGACCT